AAGCCACCCTGATTTCCATTTTGCTCGGATCACATTTATAAAAGGGGACCCAATGTGAAAATCGTTGTTAGAACATATGCGATGCGTGACGCCACGTTAACCCAGTACCTGGCTAAAGGCAGAGAGAGGGGTGCGTGGGAGATTGCCGTCAGCAAGGTTGGTCGCTTTATGTTCTTAAAATGCAAACGTACAAAACAAGAGCCGCTAGAGAACAGGTACTACAAACCCCTAGTTCAGCCCCACGGCCGTTAGAGGCAATTACCCTGGCAGTAACTAGGCTCTGTATTTAATGGCCCTAAGTGCTTTTAGATGTTTGTACACTATCCCTAGGGACGTCAGAAAAGACGACTTTTCACCGGAAATGGACATACGACATAATATATTCCGTAATTTTAATAAGTAGTAATTATTTTATGGTTTTAATTAGTGGAAATGTTAAACTCGCCAAAATGTTGGATTTTCACGACTGACTGCGGTCCAATCAATTTTTGATAGTTGGTAGCAGAATGATAGAGGTTTGCTATTTTCTATCTTTCTTTACGTGTGTTCTGCTCAAGGCAAAGAGCGAATACTTGAAAAACTAACGACCATAGACGGTATGGAAATCGCGAGTCAAAAAGAATGCTATCTGCTGTATGTAGAACTGGAAAGTTTTAAAATGAGATAACATTTAACCAGCAAATAAAGGGGACGAATACCTCGCGTTGTCGGAAGTTTCCCAACTGCACAAAGGTGCTCTCACGAAACATCTTCGCGAAGGACTTTGGGGGCGAGTTGGATACAACCTTCTTGCACTTGACCTCCTTCAGAAACCGATTGGAAGTCCACGGAACCAGTCGAGGTGCAGAGATACGACGACGTCTTATATCCGTCTAAGGGGAATAGGCGTAGAAGGAATAAATTGAAAGCACTTGAATCGGTGACCATGTCGAGTCCTTAAATAAAGAGAGGCAGATTGCAGCTTTGGTGAATAGGAAGACTCGAAGACAACTAGCACAGAAAGCTTGGACGGGATATACAATGGAACCTCGGTTAACGAATTTAATCGATACCAGCGCCGACCTCGTCTTGCGAAACGTTGCCAATCAGACGGCATCAGTTCACTGATTGGCTGCAGGTGACTGAGGACCAGCGTCCCAGGAACAAAACTCAACGACGGACACAGATACACACAGGCACTGACAGCTCGTTAACTGAGCGGAAGGTCGCCAGTCGAAACACAGTCCCCGCTAATAGCCCGCTCGTTACTTGAGATGTTTACCAAAATGATTTTGGCGGTCGCGAGATGGAAACTACACGAAAAATCTCGGAGCTTACAACGTTTTTTCAGTAGGCTGGGAACCGGGCGTTAGACTGAAGTGTCCAGGAACGTACGATAACTAACCTAGAGCACGATGTGCGCAGACAGCAACACAATGGTGGAGATAGGTGGAGGAGTGGCAAAGTTTGGCTTTAGTTTCTTTTCCAACGCCGACCAAAATTAGTTGAAATCCAGACCAAGAAAAACAGTTGAGGGTGCTGGCGTGGAGCAGAACCGAACGTGTGCATTTGCTCCAGTGATTATTTCGGCTCTGTGTATACCTCCCTACCCGTAATTGTATTAGATGGCAGATTTATCAAACCCGCGGCAAGCGCTTGAATCGGCACTCTGTTTGCCCACGTCGCCACTTGACCGTGCAAAGCTGTCCCAATCAGAAGAATATAGAGTTGTAAAAACATCATGCAGTGAATTAAAGATTTGGAGACTAACTGCTGGCCTGGTCGACTGCATGGGCGATTTTTAAACAAGGCACCCTAAACCAGACAGGGAGCCCAGAAGCTCGTCCATATTATATTAAAATCAATTTGCATGTCAGCTTGAGACTTATGCTGTGGGCTTCACCGAAACCAGTGCCTCCTTCAGTCTAAATCACAACGGGGTGAAGGTCCTTTTCATTTGTTTGCACTGCTGACAAACGGGCGTGCATCATATGAGGTATGTTGTTGTCCCATTTTATAAAAGATACTCAAAACCACATTAGGACATGACTAGCATTTTAAGATCCACTTGCACTATTTTGAATTTGGAAAGGATATGTACTTTATCTGCTTATGTCAGCAACTCCCATAAAAGCGTCTTAGTGGTTTTTTGTCACCTGAATTGATAAAGTGCGCAGCCTGTTCTTGGTAGTATTCCTCCAACTTCATCACAATTTATTCAAATGACATATAAACTAATGCAAGCAAACGTAGGAAAGAACTTTGTGCTAAACCGCAGTGGGTGTTTAAAGTCCCAAACCGACTTTCTGTCAACATCCCACTGCGCGCAGGTGCTGAGAGCTTTCGAACGTTGTAACAAGTGTTGTTTCTTCTGTGGTTCCCCTCAAATAGACGAAAAGTGACAAACGTGGTCCAAGCAGGCTTTTTTCAAATAGACAAAATGATGGTCGGAGCAAAGGAACGAGTATGACTAGGACTCACCTCCTGGGTGTCCGCCTTCTTCGGCATGGTAGAGGTTGCCTGCGCCTCCGCCTTTTCCGGTTTCAATTCCAACTGAGCCTCCTCTTGTTTCGGTTCGGATTCCGCCTGCATCGGGGGCACTGCGGCCTGAGCGCTCTCCTTGGCTATTTGCTCTGCCTTTTCAAAGAAGCTAGTTAGTTTTTTAACATCGAGTCCATCACTGCCGTCCTTGTTATCACCCCCGGTTCCACCGCCTGACGTGAGGAAGGAAACTTGTGGCTTTGGGAGAGCGAATCGAAAGTTCCGAACTAGTATCCGGCTGCGGTACCAATAAATAGCGAGTCAGATGATAGGAACTACTTGATTTCAGTCGTAAATAATGGCAATAGACTGAACTTTTAAGCCTGAGAGCGATAGGCACTTCCATTCGCTTGCCCCAGCTGTATTTGCGGTGCAGCAATTAGTGTTGCCAGAGGAAATATTACTCCCTTACGAATTTCGCTAACAATTTTTTTTATTTGACAATCAAAGACCTCTTTTTAATATCACCAGGATGTTAAAAGAAGCAAACGAGTAATGTCAGTTGAACGCGGGCTTTTGCAACGGCTATCTTCCGTTTTATATATCCCTTACTGTGTTAAAGAAGCTCCGTGATTGTAAAAGCGTTCAGGCAGGCTTAAATATCGCTATACCAGATGTTGTTTATGCCAGGACTACAGTTGAAGTATTGGGATCATAGTATGGCCGATGAAAACTTATTTTTGTCTCAAAATTAGACCGGCACATGTCAAACTGTCATAACACCGCATTCACAGATAAATCACTCTATAAGTAAACAACTGAAGAAATACGGCTTCAGTTTCTCTTCACTTGAAGGGTAATCGCGCGTCACCTCATTTTATGAATTTCTAATAGTCTGCTCGAGTTTCGCCTTCTATTCCCACGTACAACATTAATCCTGGGTATATGCAGGTCTTAGTTATCATACTATCGGAAACCACGAAAATACGACTTTGAATGGTAATTTAAGTCTTAATTCAATGATATAAACACTTGTGCAAAAAACAGAAATACCTCAACATTTTTGCCGGGTGTAGACGAAAATTCTGTATCACAATAAGGGGTCCTTATGACGTTCCTTAAAAATAACGCATAAAGAATTCATATAAAATGGGAATATTTGCAAAAATACCGCATTATTTCATGAATTCAGTAAAAGGGATGAAATTTTGTAAAAGGCAAGTCTAAATTAAACGTACAACAGGTGTTAAAAAGGCAACGTTGGTTGCAAATTATTACTCGTGGTCTTTGGTGCGCACGCAGCCGTACACCTGGTGTCTGTATAGAGGTA